TTTTTTTTCTTCCTCTCTCCTTGTTCCTTTTTTTTTTTTTTTTAAATTACAAAATCTCCTCCCTGTGCCTGCAGACGGACCTGGCCGCCTCCGAGCTCAGCCAGGTCTGTGTCCCGTCCACCCCCTCCGCCCCAGCCCAGCCGTCCCCAAACCCCGCTGCGGCCCAGCACCCCGATGCCCGAGCGGGGACCTGTCCTTGCGGGGCAACCCACGGGACACGGGGAAGACATGGGGAAGGCTCTTGGGATGAGGAGGCACACGATGGCAACTCCCTGTTGCAGTATGAGATGGGAAGAAGGCAAATCTAGATGGACACCGCATTTTGGGGGGCCCGACCCTGCCTCTGTCACCCCAAGACAGCCTGGGCAGAAGCAGGCACTGTATTGCTGGGGCTCTGGGCATCCCTGGGGCAGCTGAGCACCAGGCAGAGGGCGACAGGACTTGGTTTGATCCCAGCTGGAGAAGAGGAGCCCATGGGGGTTCTGGGGGTGGGCTCGGGGGGGACTGGAAGACAGCTGGGCTGCCCCTGCTTTAGGGGTTACAGGGGTCTGCGGTGATACAGATCCTCAGGTCAGCGGGCTGCTGAAAAGGGCTCAAGGCACCTTGGTAACGTCCACACGAAGAGGTGTTTGTTCCCGAAATTCCCATGGAAAGAAGAGTACGTAAGGTTCACATTAGCACACGTCAATTGTATATAGTGCAAATCAGAGCCCCGGCACCAGAGGGTTCATGCTCTGGTTAGTGGTTAGGATGTCCCACGGGTGCAATCCTGGGCGCTGCAGACACTCCAGCCCTTGTTCTGCCCCAGCTGCAAGGCGATCGGCGCATCGTGCACAGCCGTCCAAACCCTTCTCGTGCAGAGCGAGGCCCTACCCCATCTCACTGTCACGCTCGCTCCCTCCTTGAGCCCTACCAGAGGAAGCGGAGCCACGAAGCCTTCGCGAGAAGACACAGAGAGCCTGTCCCTTCCGAGCAAAACACAGAGCTGCTTCTCAAAGGCATCACTGCCTGGCCAGAGAGGAGCTCTGGGCGCAGTCCTGAAGGCGGCTCTAACCACGTACAGCACAGCCACGACATCCATCCCAACACCCACCCCCTTCCCCAAGGGTGAGGAAGGTCCCAGGAGAAGGGCAGGTCTGCATCTGGCTGCCACCGCAGCCAGAGGGGTGGAGGCCCCTCACGCGTGTCCCCAGAGGGGTTTCAGGTCCCGAAAGCTGGGGACTGATTGCAGGCACGGTCTAGGTTTGCAAGGCCACACCTTGCAGAGGGAGTTTGTGGTTTTCCATCGGTCCCGAGCAGGAGGACATCTTCCAGGTGGCTGCACAAGCATCCTTTCTGGGAGACCTAGAGAGGTGGCAGCCAAAGGTCCAGGCCGTTTCAGGACCGTGACTCGGGGAGTGAGGATGACGTGGCAAATGGGAAGCCAGGAGTGAAGAGCGAGCGCTGGGCTCAGGAGAGTCCAGCCACATCCTGGAAGCAGGGGAGCAGAGAACGTCACTGCTCGTCACTGGTTCATGGGCTCCTCTTCCTCCATCGGCTCGTCTTGTGGCCTGAAATGGAGAAATACGACACATGAGATGAGGAGGGGACCTGTGTGACACAACGCATCCCTCAGCATCGAGCTGGAGGTTCTGACAAGTCCAGCATCTACACAAGCCTCCCAGTGCTTCCCGCTTCACCAAGACCTACGTAGACTCTGGCTGAGTCCTGGTGAGGATGAGAAAAGGCGGTGGGCAGGTGGGGACCCTGCTGAAAGGAGGTGATGAACCCCCACACCTCCAGCCTCCAAGGAAGCAAAGAGGATTTGGTCTCGGTTTCATCTTGTTTAGGAAGAGCCCAGCGCTGAATCCCCCAGAAGCCAATCCAGGTCCTGACCACGTGGATGCAGGGCCTCACCCCATCACCCACTGATGAACGCTGGGGCCAAATCTGCCGCGATGTGAGGGCTGCAGGATCAGAGCTCTCGGTGGGGAGGATGGTTGTAATTTCATCTCCCACAGCCTTCTTAAAGCCAGCACTGTCCTGACCTCCCAGAAGCTCATCTGGCTGTGGGACACGGCCCTTCTCTGCTGCCACCCCCGTGACAGCAAGGCTCGGACCCAGGCACGCAGGGAGCGAGGGGCACCCACATCTCCCAGGCTCAGTTAAGAGCATCACCTCTTCTCCACCATCACGGCCACTGAGAGAGAGGCCAAGGCTGTGACCGTCTCCACCTCTTCTGCCTCGTGGTGCTGCGCCTCCAGGAAGGAGCAGCCCAGCTTGGCGGCAAAGCGCTGCACGGCCACCCAGTATTTACCTGCAGGAGAAACAAAAAATCAGGAGGTGCCAGGACAGGGGTGCCCCAGGTCTCCAGGCTTCCCTTGCAGTGAGTGCACATACGGGGCATCGCCCTTCCGTGAGGAGGATGATGGTGGAGGGCTCCACTGGGGTCTTTTATGCCAAGTGTCCCCTTGGGGGTCATGGGGTTTACTGGAGAGGGGAGGAAAGGCTAGCACTTGGCCCTTCCATGTTAACTAACCGAGCCCCCAGCCCTAGGACACTCACTCTGGACCTGGATCACTGTTTCCAAGGAGCGCACGGCGTTGGGGTTTGGTTTCTGCCTCATGCTTTCCTCTGGGAGAGGGTCCAGCTGCCGAAGGAAGGCACAGGGGGTCAACAGGAGGGAGCTGTGCCCAGGGCTCGGCTCGCAGCGTCAGTACAGCCCCACAGCCAGGACCCGCTGACCCCCAGCTCTCACCTCGTTGCCCAGCAAGGCTGACACGCAGGCCTCGGATGCGTCGCAGATGGCCGTAAGGTCATGGCCACCTTCTAGCGCGAGGACGATGGCTCCACCAGCCAGGCTCATCAGCTGCTTCGTCATGTAGCCAAAGCCTGGAGGAGAAGCCCGAGGGGTGGTTGTCAGCCTCCCTACCCGAAACGCTGGGGCCCTGGCCCTTGGTGGGCTGGTACAACCCCAAGGATCTTCCCCAGCTCCTGGAGAGCTGCCACCCCTACGCCACGGTCCCAGCCTGGGTGGGCAGCGGGAACAACCCGCCCTGAGCCAGCGGCGCTGCTTCCACCCCCTTACATTTAGCAGAGACTTTGTAGCCACCCAGGGGTGGCGGGTGGCCATCAGCCGCGTCGAAGCCGGCCGACACCAGCACCACATCGGGGGCGAATTCGTGTGCAATTGGCATCACCACCGTCCTGCGTGGGTAAAAAACAAATAAGAGGTGTTAAGTGCTGGCTCAGCCTGACACTGAGAGAGAGGAGATGAGCAGAAACACAAGGAACAGTACCTGAAAGCAGCCAGATACTCAGGGTCACCCATGGGGGGGTCGAGCCCTCCAGTCCAGGCTATGTTGACATTAAATCCCTCGCCAGGGCCAGCACCAACCTGTGAAAGAGCAAGGGCAGCAGTGAAGGCCTGGGTGCAGCCTGCAGGGATGCTGGGGCAGTGCCCTGAGCAGGCTCCATCGCTGCCAGGCTCCGGCGAGGCATGGCTGGGTGTCCCAGACCCCCTGCATTGTCAGGGCCACAGGAGCCGGTTGGGCTTGCAAAGCTTGCTGAAGAGCAGCAGAAGCTGTGGCATTTTCCTGACATTCCCCAGAGCCTTGCAGCCATCGGTCACCGTCCCCGTGCCGCTGGCTGCAGGCTGGGACAAAGCCTTGGCTCTGCTGCCAGCTGGGTGAACCAGGCAGGATCAGGCATCAACGGGCAAGGCACTGACACAAAACCACCCTCTGCTCAAAGCCAGCGCTGCCCTGCTCTGCTGGCTGGCACCTTCGCCGCCAGCGCTGCCGTCCCTGGGCAGAGCTGCACAGACCTCGCAGCCTGTTGGTGCTTTTTACCTCGTCAGCGGCCCCGCTACCGGGGAAGAAGTTGCCATCATCGTGACGATGCAAAGAGATGTAGAGAACGTCAGGGTCTCTGTAGAAGATCTGCTGGGTCCCATTGCCGTGGTGAACATCCTAGAGGGAGAGAGAGATTGGGAGAGCGCTCTTTTTTTCAGCCTTGAGGGTGGCCCAATAGCCTAACGGAGCTAAAAGCAACTGGATCTCTACCCTGCTCCAGGGCTTGGTCCCCCATCCCCAGGGTCTGCTCCTGCTCCCCCATCCTGACACGCCGCGGGGTTCCCAGCCATGCCGCTGCAGCTGGTCCCCGAAGGAGGAGGTTCCGCCGCTCTCCAGTCTAGCTCCAAACCAGAGCTGGGAGGAGGTGCAGACACCCACTCCTGGGGACGTCCTGGGGAGGAGCAGGGACACGCTGGGGGACAGAGGCACTTACCCAGTCCACAATGAGGATCTTGCCGAGTTTCCCTTTCTGCTGCAGCTGCCTGGCAGCAATGGCCACCGAGTTAAAGAAGCAGAATCCCCTGCAAAGAGGGAGTTGGAGCTGGTTATCCCTCGGGCCCTTCCTGAGCACCCTTTCCTCCTGGCTCATGTGCTCCCCAAAGGGTGGGCTCTCCCTCCCCTCTCCCTCCGGCCTGGATACGCATGGGTCCGAGGAGAGGTCAGTCTGGAGTGATCAGTGATTTTGAGCCAAGGAGATGTTTTTTGCGGCTTCCCACATGCCAGCCCAAAGCCCTGCGGCTTGGGAAGGGGCCCTTACATGGCGGTGGAAGGATCCGCATGATGTCCAGGTGGCCGCACCACAGCGAAGCCGTTCTGGGGACAAAATAAAGGCGAGGTGATCAGAGCTGCTGCCCCCAGCACCACGCACCACCTCCACACCCCGGCTGGCCAGTCCTGCCGCCCGGGGGCAGCTGGGGACAGGGCCCGCGGCAGCACAGGGCTGGGAGCACCCGCTGCCAGCTGGCGAGACCCCACAGCCCCCCTCCTGCCCGGCCACGGGGCGATGCACAGCTCTGGGACCTCCGCGTGAAGCCAGCCTACCTTCAGCTCCCTGGTGGCCACCTTGAAGGCCAGCTCGGTGACGCTGCCTGCGGCCCAGCGGGCAGCATTGGAGGAATGCAGCTCGTTCCAGATGGTATCGCTGTCCACCTGGAAGCAAGGGGATCGGTCAGACGGGGACATGGCACCCACGCTCTCTGCCAGCCGCCCTGCTCGGGGCCAGGGGTTGAAGTCCTGTGCAGGCTGAAGGGCCAGGCACCGTGTAGCTGGGCCACCTTGCACGCAATGGGGCAAGCTCCCCAGCAGCTCCCTGGTGCTGCTGGCCAGGACGGCAGCTCCTCTGCATGCTGTCAGCCCCAGCCCCCAGGCGAGCTCCGCACAGAGCATCTCGCCCTGCACCCGGGGGCTGGAAGGAGTGACTGAGAAAATGCTCGTTACCTTCTTTATCTTATTTTATTGTTTAACCAAACATCTTGGTTTGATCAGGATCACGTCAAGGGCCGAGCCAGAGCCGGAAAACTCAAGTCTCTTCTGATCAACGCCATGTGTGCAACGCAAAGGCTCCCCTCTGCCCACGGAGAGGGGCAGCTCCAGCCCCCCCGCCTTCGGGGCACGGGCGAGAGGAGGGCAGGGAGGGAGAGGCAGAGCGGGGAAAGTAGATGCAAACGGGGCTGAGAAGAGCTGGTGCCCAGCAGCGGGGGCAAGGAGAGGAGAAGAACCAGAAGAGGCAGCAGGAAGGCATGGAGTGAGACCCTTCCTGAAAGAGAGAGAGAAGGACAGAGACGGGGGGAGAGAGGAAGAGAGGAGAACGCAATGAATGGAGAGAAAACAGGGCGGGAAGCTGTGAAAGGAGAGGCCACAGAAGTGTCTGGAGGGAAGTGGCAAGCTGCTGGCCCCATGACACTGCTCCCCTCCCTCAGCTGAGACCATGGCTTGCGGCTTCCCCCAGCCGTCCCGCCAGCTCGCTCCCTTCTAATGCCCCTTAGAGTAATGGCTCTTAGAAATGGCTGTGGGGGGCTTTTGGTTCCTGGGCCCCTTAGAGTAAGGAGGCACAAAGGATCCCCTTTCAAGGGTGGGATGCTTAGGACCATCCCAAGGACGGGGGAAGCTCTGATACAATGACATCTTGCCCACGGATGGAGTGCTCCCACCTGAGGCTACCCAACCTTCGCACCCCAAAGGCTCCGGGAGCTCCCTCTCCACTCAAGCCCACAAGGAAGCCCTCGCTGGGGACAGAAGAAAGGAACAACCCCGTCCAAAACCGGCCAAAGCAGAGATAGAGCACTTACCCCCACCCCTCCGCAGGGCAGCATGACGAACATCCGCTGCGACAGGATCCCTGCAGAGAGAGGGGACAGCGCGGGCTTCAGAGCTGAGAAACTGGGGAATGGTGGGGGACAGGGCACACGGCACGGGGGTACCAAGGAGGGAGGTTTGGCCTGGCTGCTCGGCCAGAATTAGGACCAGCCCGCAGGGGGGCTGCTTGGTGCGGTCCCCATGGCTGAGGGCACTCTGAGACCCGGTGTGGATGTGCGGGCAGGTACGGGCAGAAGGCGAGGGCACGGCTGCCGAAGGGAGCGGTGTGGATGTGGACTCACCTGCCAGCTTCCCGTTGTCCAGTTTCAGGCGGTTGAGGGGATTGGTGCCGTAGAGGAAGACGTGGCGCTCGGTATGGACACACTGCAGCTCTTCCAGGGTGGCCTTGCGTCCCCGCAGACACTGTGGCAGACAGGGGCTGTGACCAAGCTGCTCCAGGTGGGAGATGCGGGCTCGCCCACCCACGCACACCAGCCTCCGAGGCGGGGGGCACATCCTGACGTACGAGTACAGCCACACCTCGTGTCACCACAGCTGGGGAGGCAGCTGCAAGGCGGAGCGCCGTGCTTCTTGCATGGGACTTGAACTTGAGCACCCCTCATTTGCAGGCAGAGATCAGGCAGCAAATGCCAGCACCGCCCTCCCTCAACTGCAGAGCCCTGTGCAGACCAGTCAGCCCAGCTAGACCAGGGCAAGGTTTCTAACGGACTGGAACTGACACTGATGTTCCCTGAGTCGGCAAAACACCATTTCAGTAGGGATCACACCTCTCCCTACACCCATCTTCCAGCAGAGCAGACTGCTGCTGCCCTCTGAAGCTGGAGATGGTCAGACCAGCATGCTCTGACTTGGCACTGCCAGCAACGGAGAAGTCCAAGCCCTCTGCCAAGGTCTTTGTTGCCTGGATAATGGTGGCAACAGGCTGAGAAGATCTGGGAGCAAAACGGATGGAGCTGGGAGCAGGGTACCCTATCACACCGTTAGCAGGAGATCTGCTCGTACCAGCATCCCCCTCCTGGGCAGGCGTCCAGCTCCCACCCTGCCGCTCGCGCTCACCTCGCACTGGCTGCGCAGCCCTCTCTCCTGCAGACGGGACCAGATGCTCTGGATCCTGCCCGCATGCTCTGGGTGGTTGCTGTTGTCGCCGCAGGAGCACTGGTGTTTGAGCATCACCGAATCGTAAACCAGCCCTGGAAGGCACAAGGAGAGCTGCTGTCCCGAGGCTGGACTGGACACCCAGGCCTTGACATTGCTGACCCTAATTCAGCTCCTTTTCAGGGGCTGGTTGAGACCCTAAACGCCTGTGGCCTTTTGGTTTGACTGAAACACCTCTCTCAAACCATGGGAGCTTCTGTCCCAACACGCTTGAAGCCAAATCCTGCCTTGGGTATGTACAAGAGCTGAACCTTGCCAGCATCACTGGACCAGGATGGCAGTCAAGGGGCCAGATGGGCAAGTCCTGCTTGGAAAAGTCACTTTACATAAGGAGAAGGAGCCCCTCATGGCTTGCTCTGCTCTTTTTGTAGCGAGCCAGAGCACTCCCAAGCATTTATGAGTCCAGGATTGACTGGGACTGATGCTAAGCTGCCCCTGGGCATCCCCACCTCCCTTCCAGCTCCTGTCACCAGCCCCTGCTGCTGCTCCAGCCCCACAGAGGGGCTGGGCCATACCTGTTGTGAAGTGGGGCTTGGCTGGCTGCTCCTGCACGGGCAGGGAGAGCGTCTTGGGGGCCGTGTCCTGGGCAGGAAGGGAGACGGTCGCGGTGGCAGGAGATGACTGGGCCCTGGAGAGGGGCCTGTGCCCCGCATGGATGGTGGGGACCATGGGGGAGTCGGCCAACGGCTGCCGCTTGAGGAGCTGCTGCTGCACCCGCCGGGAGGGAACCCCGAGGGAGGGCCGG